AAAAAAAAAAAAGAAAACCGATTCTGGGCGTGATAAGTGAGACATAAAAACCGCTTCATCTTTACCCCGACCCTGTGGTCCCAGCCAGCAAGGGTAACTCAGGCTCACAATCAAACGAAGAGGGGAAGGGGTCCGGGCACTGCTGGGGAGGGAAAGGCATCGGAAGGAGAGCACGCGCCTCAGATCCCCAAAGCAGGGAGAAAGGGGCTGGGGACGCGGTGCGCGGCTCCTCACGCGGATGAATGGGAAATGCGCGAATCAACCACCAAGCCCGGCGAGGCGGGTGACCGCTCTCCCTTGCTCTCCCTTGCTCTCCCTTCTTCCTCCTTACCATCGCGACTACAAGCAAATGATGCAGGAAACTCGCCGCCGACCCAGGTGTAGTCCGTCCCTCGTGACTGGCGTAACTCCCACGGGCGCGAATCGCGGAGCTTCCAGAGAAATGGCCGCCAAACAGCAGCGTGACCTTTCACCTCCGACTACAGCTCTCTCAGCTTCTGTGATTGGGCACAGAGAGACGCGTCCTGATTGGAGGAGGTGGCTGGGCAATGTCTCCTGGCAACCAGCGGTGGCGCGAGCGATCTAGACTTCCGCGCGGCGCACAGCCCTGTGGGAAACTTCACTAGCACCGCTGGCCGGAGAGGGTCCGGGAGAGGCTGCAAAGGCAGGGAGGCGGGTCCGGGTTTCTCGTTTGCTCACCTGTCTCGAGGGTTCGGCTGTGTACCCTATAGATCGGACATGATTTCTCGCCAGCATGGCTAATGGAGGTTTCTTGCCATTTTACACCTGTGAGGACGGATTCCTGGCTCTTGAGTTTCTTACTCACTTTCCCACAGATTCTGTGATTTGGGGGCTTCTATACCACAGTCCCCTTCTCTATTCTGTAACGCTTATTTCAGCCCACTTTAAAGGAAGTGGGAGAAGCAGGACTAGACTAAGAGAGGTGAAACTCACCAAAGAAAGTCAAGTACAGAATATGGTTAGATGAGGTCAGATGGAGTCTAGAATATGGTGTGGTGGTCTCCCTGTTTCTCTGTTGCTTTTGCTTTGCCACCAGAGACCCGGCGCAGTCTTTAATCTTTCTGATGTAACGCTATTGATCAGAATCTCACTGATTTCCGCGTCCCTCCCCCCCTCCCCGGGGGGGCAGACTTTCAGCTCTCTTGGATCTGAAATGCTAAATGCAGTTCTTGGAGAATAAGCACTTTGGGAAGTGCTGGATTTTGGTTTTGTTTCCGTTCGTTTTTGCGGCCCTACGAAAATGGATTTGGAATTGAAGTTTGAATGTTGCATATGGAGTAGTAGGTTAGTGGGTAGTGGCTAAGACTTTGGAGACAGCTTGAGTTCAGAACCTCTGTCCATCACTTAGGGATGGTGTGGGTAGTTCCTTAACCCCGTAAGGCCTTTGTCTCCTCCTAAAGACCTTTGTTTACTCAGCTATAAATGGCCTAACATAATAAAATTAAAAAAAAGAAAGGCTAAAAATAAAAAAAAACAGTACTATCCTTAGGGTTTGCGAGAATTAAATAATGTGAAAGAGGTTGGGATTTAAGGGTTCAGTGAATGTTTACTGTTATTTTAATGTCCGTGAAAATGGTGGAGAATACTGACAAAATACAGTAATTTTTGGTGTAGTTTATGCCGAACAGTTGGAATTATTTACCCCGAAGTTCAATGGGTTTTCCTATAGTCTGACCATCATTTAATGAACATTGAGATTTTGTATAGACTCTGAGTTCCTACTATGTGCCAGGCTCCTTCACAATTGCTATAATGGAAATCTTACTACACAGCCTGTGATCTGGGTGTTATGCTCCCATTTTAGAGATGAGGAAAATGGCTCAGCAGGTAACTTGACCAGGGCTACCCAGCTGGCTTTCACTCTGAAAACTCTTTGCTTTTTGTACTTCATAAAGTTACCTTTCAAAAGCTCAATATATGCTTTAAAAGTCTGATTTTTAAAAAAATTCTCAATGAGGTGAAAAAAAGTATTACCATAATCTTTGTAAACATAGCTGTGTTTAAAGTTTTTTTTAAGTAGGCTCCACGCCCAATACAGGACTTGAACTCACAACCCTGAGATCATGACCTGAGCCAAGATCAAGAGTCAGATGCTTACTTAACTGCCTGAGCCACCCAGGCGTCCCTAAAGTTGGTTTTTATCCTCGCATTAAATATTAATCTTACCTTTTTGAAAATAAAGTGGGCATAAGGTCATTGGTGTTTTTCAAATTTTAAAAACCATATGTACATTTTGTGAGAATTTGGAAATATAGGAAATTCTAAAACAAAAATTACTAGTATCACCAAAGAAAACGACTTTACTTTTTTGGTGTACTATTTATTGTAACATATGCACTTTAAAAAAAAAAAAGATATCTACATATAGTTCTTAACTTGTTTTCTTCACTTTATATTGAGCAAATTCTCATATAAGTATTCTCCTAAAATGTAGTGTAATGTCTATTTTGCATAATTGGAATTATATATATGTGCTAGTTTATTAATTATTTTATTGTTCCCATTTCCCCCATTATAAACAATGTGTTTTGGACATACTTTTGAACATGAGTCTTTGAGTATATCTCTAATTCTTTACAGTAAATCCTTAGAAGTAAAATTTCTGGGCTAAAAGGCATAATTATTTTAAAAGTATATATTTGCCAGGTTAGCATATGGCTCAACAGAATACCCATCAGAATAATTGGCTCTAATATGATGGAAACACGAGGTTTATATTTTTTGAGATGAGCTAGAATACATTTTGAGCACATTCTGAGCAAACGGTCCCTAATTATTAATTAGGGTGAACAGTTTGGTAAGGCCTGGGTTTTACTGCTTAGCATATAACCCAGAAATTCCAGTGGTAAACAAACATCTAAAAAGTAATTTGTTAAATGACCAGGAAATATTTATTGAGGTGAATAAAATCAACATGTGATCTCTGCCCTCATGGAACTTGAAAACCTCTTTGAGAAGAAGGGAAACAATACATATTTAGTGCCTGCTATGTTATGCTAGGATATTTCATATAATTTATTTAATACAACACTTCCAGGTAGGTAGTATTAGCCCCATTTTAGAGATGAGGAGACGGATTCAGGAAGGTTATGTATTTTGCTAAAGGCCGTATAGAAGGTGAAATGTCTACAAAGCCTAAGATTTTTCCTTTACACAATGCTGCCTGTCCCTAAAATGTGTTTGAGTAGAGTACAAATAAATACTATAGATATGTACAATTTATATCAAATACATAGAAATATATATATCAAATATATAGAAAACATAGAAATATAAACATAAATGCAAGCTGAAGTGGGATGGTTTAGAAAGTTAGTTTTTGAAATCAATGAGCTCTTCCTTTTGTTTTCTTTATTCCCATAATCTCAGCATTTTATTTTCCTATGATTATGGTCAGAATCAGTTATGGCCAAAGTAGATTTAAAGGGGTGAGAGGGGAAAAGAGTGGGAGGGAAGAGAGGGAGGCAAGATCTGAGTGCCTCAGTCTGGTAGAAGCTTTACACATACTATGTCAAACTTGACAGATGTGTTTTGCCTAGAGAAGAAATTAAAATTCAAAATATATTCACTTCCTCGGTCATATAACCACCAAACTTAGATTAGAATCCAAGCCTTTTTGGTGGTGCAAAGCCCATATTCTTTCTACCACCACAGAGAGAGAATCATACTTCAAGGGAAGGCTGGTATTGTGGTTAGGAGTCAAGTGTGCTCCAATTCTTAAGTCGGTATTAATGAATCATTGAATTTTAAATTTATTTTTTCTTAAAGATTTTATTTATTTGAGAGAGAAAGAGAGAGAGCACAAGCGGGGGAAAGAGCAGAGGCAGAGGCAGAAGCAGGCTCCCCGTTAAGCAGGGAGCCCGACGTGGGCCTCGATCCCAGGACTCTGGGATCATGACCTGAGCCAGAGGCATATACTTAACTGACTGAGCCACCCAGGTGTGCCAAATCATTGAATTTTGAACTTAGGACAGAACCCTAGAGATGCCTAGTCTTAACCTATAGTTTTGTAGATGATGAAAACATGGTCACGCCATGATTTAGAGAGAACCCCAGAATAGGCTCTGTCTCTCATTTTGTGCTTTTGTCATTATTCTAAGCTACATTCTTTATCTTCTGGATGTTCTACAAATGATTGTAAGTTTCTTATTAAAAAAACACACAAAGAAATAATGAAGAAATGAAGGATGAAGAAAAAATACAACCAGATATAAGATCAGAATACAGACATCTACACCATATTGCCTTATGCACTGGTTAGAGATGGGCTGTGCATTTGTCCCTAAACTTTTGGAGTCCTAGCAAAGAGAAATATGATTGGTTACACAATCCAATTTCCATAATATTTTTTAAAAAATCACTCAGGAAAAACACAATTGTTTCTATTACTCTGATAGAAGAGAAATTTCTCCCATAGTGTCAAGCCCATGATCTCTGTAAACGGACCCCGAGGCAAAATTTAAGTGTGAATGTTTTATTGGCAGGCACAATCCCAGGGCAGTAAGTGTGAAGCAAAAAGATAAGACAGGGAAGAATGAGAAGCAAATACTAGGTTTTACGTTATTGAGCTGGTCACAGATCCTTCACAGAAACAGTCAGTTGGTCAGTCGTGCAGGATGTCTCTGGACAGGTTTATTGAAATGTCATGCATTGGAACAATCCAACAAAGGGTGCGTAGGCACTGAGAGGGAATTTACCTACTGGTTCCGTCCTATCTTCTAGCTGAGCATAGCCCAGGCTTTACAGCTTAGTGTGGTGGGAGGAGCCTTGGGTGTCAGCCTCAGGTGGAGGAACCTAGGACCTCATGAAGTAGACATTGCAGAGGCAGGACCCCTGAGACAGATGAGACTGAGAAAATCTGAGTTGACACATGACATTTATTCATATACATGAGGTTATGTTAAAAAGGGCAGTATATAAGATAGCAGAAGATGTCACTGAAAACATTGTTATAGTAGATTTAATAGCACATGTTATGTGATTGATTGCTAACTAATTGCACAGTGGGAAAAATAGCTTTATAGTGAAAAAGCCTGGCAGGTACCACCTTAATCCAATGATTAAATGACCATTGTTAGCAATGGGACAAATCAAAATAGAGTGTCACTTGCCAAGATGCAATTGAGAAGACGCACTGCTGTGGTATTCTTACCAAAGACACATAATCAGAATCTAATAATCAGCAAATATCAAACGAACGAGATTGAGGAACATTTTACTAATTAACTGGCCTGTGATGTTCACGAGTGTCCATGTCACAGAAGATCTCTGAGGTAAATTACTGAGAAAAGCCTGGCACAGAATAACTTCTATCACATGCTACCTCTGTGAAAAAAGAGAGGGAGATAACAATCTACCCATTTGTTTCTTTATGCATCAATATATTGGAGGATTCCTTAGATACCAAGAACACTGGTTACCTATGGGTGGGTGTGGTAGGAACTGAGCTGAAAGTAGACC